GGGGCGCGCGGCAAGCGGAGCTGAGTCATCCGCAGCCCTCGAGGTGCCACAGCGAGCGTGGGGATTCCTGCCGCCCGCCTCGGCTCGCTGCTTCCCAGAACAGGCCGCCCCCGGGCGCCTCCTCTGCTCCTCCCCGGCCTCCTCGGGAGGCAGACGGGGTGCAGAGGATGTGATGGCCAAGTCCCCCGCGGTATCTGGCTCCCAGGGGGCCTCAGCTGGACATGCCAGGGCAGGGAAGAGCCCAGGGCCTGGATGGGGCTCCCCAGGGATCTCCAGTGCGGGTGCACCACGAGCCAGAGGAGTCAGCACAGCGGGGAGGGCTGGTACCATCGCGAACAGGCTGCAAGGCCGTTCCACACACCGTGCTGCAGAGCTCCCGGGGGGCTCACACGAGAAACAAATTGTACCCAGGTCTTGGGCGGAAGTTTAAGGCATCTGAAATGAATAAAAAACAGGGCACCACAGATACCTCTTCTCAAAATGGTTTTGACAATTTTTTGACCGTATATATTCATGGAAAGGCCGTATACATACAGATGTATAGAGTCATATAGTGGTATAGTCATATATGATCACATGTATGTGACTTCATATAATGCCTCTGATCTTATATATTGTATATATATAATGCCATGACCTAGGATGGGTGTGCCCTTGAGATAGGAACAGCTTGTCCTCACGGCTGCTTATCGAACCTTGGCTTCAATCACGTTTTCCAAACCAGTGCTTCCGAGGACGTAGCTGCAGCATGGGAGCAGCCAGGAAACACCGTATTCAGTGCTGCGCTCCATGACATCCGGCTTCCAAACATTTTCTGCTCCAAGGATCTCCTGGTAGGTTGCAGTCTATCTGCCCTGTGCTGTCCCATGGTGCTCTCCTCCGCATGTGCCCCAGGGGTCCTATGGGCACCCAGAGCTGCACCAAAGGACAGAAGGAGGAAGATGGAGAGACCTTCCGCGGTGCATGAGGAAGGGGAACCTCTTGGCTGGGGCAGTGAGTGGGAAGAACAGCAGGAGCTGAACATAACAACTCTTCCAGCTGCATCAAGGCCATCAGAGCAGCTTTGGCCAATCCAGATTTCTCTTCCCTTTTGAACAGAACCTTACAGGTGAGACACCTGACAACAACCCCATCTGCATCTTCTGGTGGGCCATTTTGAACTCCTTTCTGCTTGCTTTTGCGCCCAGAAGACCGATGCCCAAAGATGTCCTGCTCAGCCCCAAAGGAAGCGGCAGAGCCGCGGAGCTCGGCACCTCAGAGGCTCTGCGCGCTTCAAAGGCGACGAACAAACAGCCCTGCTCCTTCCCAGCCCCGTCACGGATCCTGAGGAAATGCTCCAGTCAACACATCTGGGCGCTGCTTCCTTCTCACACCGAGAGCCTGTTTAAACACTTACTAATGTAAAGAAGCTTTTTGCTGCCGTAAGGCATCTATATTTCCAGCAGGCATCCTGGTTAAACACTGTGGACGTCTTAAGAGTCACAGCCAGTCTCTGAATGAAAAGGTACCTTGTTTGAAAAACAGAGGGTCTTTTTTCTTCCATGGCCACCTAAAATATTGCACGTCACTGCTGATGTTTTCATTTTCAGAATGACGAGGTAAAAACACACTCTGCGTGGGCTCGGGGAGTTTTCTTTGGTTGAGAGGTTTGTTTTCTTAATCGTCTGTCTCCTACACACATCTCACAGGTAAAAAATGCTTAGGCTTTTAAAAAGATATGCTCAGAGCACGACCAATGTTTTCCTGGAGAGCCGGCCCACACAGTGAGTCCGTGGAAGGGGAGCGCGGGGAGAGCGCGTCCATCGCAGACCCATCCTGCCCCACGAGCCGGGCTTACCTCAGCCTCCTCTCCCCAGAGGCAAGAGCCACCCTGGCCGTGGGTTACCCATGATGTGATTCCT